TCGATATGATTCAGTCCAAGACATTTTTATGGATAAAAAACAAGGTAGCTAGCAGTGTTTTTTCAATATTTGATTGGAAATTCAATCCGCTGGAATGTGCTGTTGCTATAAGAAAGCATAGAAGAATGTTGAGGGAGTTCCACAAGCATAAATATGGAGAGCACTGAGATTGGAATGATTTTATCTTACATGTTTGATGGAAATACTTTGTTTTAGTTAGCCTATTGTAATAGTTTTGTATTTGGGTTGGAGTACCCCTTGTACTTTGTATAATAAAATCTCATTTATTTTGTTGATCAAAAAAAAAAAATCTATATCCTAACGGCTAATGAATTAACCAGGTGTTGGCATGCGTGTCAAACCAAAAGGTGTGTGAATCTTTATGCATGGTAGTCTCCATAATAGTCACCATCATGTATTCTTCTCTCCATTGTAAACAAATGATATGAATGATGATGTTAGGGTTGGAATATGCATTATACTAATCTTATTGATAAAATTTTATTTATGAAAACTAATGAAACTCCTTTTTTTTTTTTTTTTCTGGTGACCCTCCATTTTAAGTATTTAAGATTGAAATTTCCTAAGGAATATATTAATTAATCTGTAAAGTTAGAAAGCTTTAATTGTTTATGACCACCAATTTCATCCTATAAGCTAACTAAATTGTTGGACCAAAAAAAGATCTAGAAAAATTAAAGAGGCTAGAATTAAACTGGTAGATGTACAATAATAGTTGAGAATTTAACACAAGGAAGGTCCAACAAAAGATTGAAAGAAGACGCTAGGTTTCTATTGCCAGGTCTTTTTTGGGTTTTTGGTATACTTTTAATGCATTAATTATAACACTCCTTCGCAAGTTTGCATGCTATTTTGAAATTTTCACCCTCAATTTCTAATATCTTCGCAAACCACACAGGGTTTGTTTACTTGGAGGAATGAAAAGACGAGGTAAATTGCGTGGAGAGAATGGCATGCAAGGAACTATCTCTTAAATTCACTAATTTTTTTGCGTGGAGAGAATGGCATGCAAGGAACCATCTCTTAAATTCACTAATTTTCTTCTAGTAAGAGTGAATTAAGAGGGAATAGATAAAATTTAGGAGAAGTTTATTCAAAATTGGAACACAATATATGTTAGAGTTGACACCATTCATATACTATGATGAATATTTTTACCAACAAGACAATGTCTAAGACTTGAAATTCACAAGCATAATTCACATATATAGACACACACAAATAAGTATCTGGCATTAATTAATTTTGTTATTTTAGTGGTGCAAGCAATATATATGAAGAGAGAGAATTGAATTGATAAATTTCTTTAATGATCAAATTGGCATTATCGCACGTTCAGTGTCTCAATAATTATCCATGTGTCTGAATTTTTGCACGCTGACCTATACATGAAAGCTCAACGTGATCTCTAGTGATCAATAGGTTCTACTTCGACTTCGATATCAATATGCAATTAGAGGTCTAACTGTATCTCTCCAGTTCCCTACACTGAATAAAAATTTAATTCAACAGAGCAAAAGAGAGCTAGCAGCTTATATATTTATTCAGAATATAGCCTGCAAAAAGTTTCCATTCATCGTCCCTAGAGGTTGATATGTGTATATCCAATCCAAAGAAAAAGGTCGTAATGGCAAGTTGTGTTTGTATATAACCAATTCTCTTGTGAAAGAGACAGAAGAGAGACTACAAAAAGAGGCAGACTGCTAGTCACAAGATCCAAGGAACATTAATAATAAAGGACCTGCAATTGCAAGTTGGTTTATAATTTTAAAAGTAAAGGACCCCTTTAAAGGCCCCACCAACCATCAAAGGAAAAGCTGCAAAAAAAAAGAGGGCAAAATTAAACCCACCGTTAAGTCCTTAAACTTGCTTGATTTTAACGGATGAGTTCTTTAACCAAAAAACATGCCTATAAACCCTTAAAACAAGTAATTGCGGTAAAAAATTAGGCCTAATGGTCTCTGATATTTCTCATTAAACACGGCTGATATGATAGTTAAAACAATCGGCTGTCCTTATTAGCAACTAAAATAATATAACTATGTAATAATTTTATTTTAATTCTTAAATTAGTTAAATTTCAAATAAATAAATTATTAAATATTTTAACTTATACAAATTTGAAACTATTAAAATTTATAGAATTTTTTTATTCGCTTTAATTTAAATCTTTTGGACCCTTTAAGTTTTAATCACCAACCCCTATTTTCTGAGAGAGCTTATGAGGGGAAAGCCTTTGTTCTAAAAAAATATTTTAACTTTTTTAATGGTGGATGTTAATACAAGGGCTAATTTATTAGATTGGGTGACTTAAATGCTCGTATACACGCTTTTCTTGTTTAGGGACTCATCACCTGGAGTGAGTATCAATCGCTGAATAATGGGTTTTGCGTATAAATAAAAAGAAAATCCATTGAAGAAAAAGGTTGTTGTGGTCCTTTTACCCTTTTGTTGGGAACTTGTAAATTGAAATTCCAAAGAGCTAGTCCATATGTAAATGCAATATGATCATCGCAAAAGCTGAATATATATGCTACTTTCACTCTCGCTATACAAAGCGCGTGCCATTCTGTGGTCCCTAATACTGGGGTCTCGAGCAAAAGACTATTATTTGTAGCTCTATCAGGGCTAAATATCCAACTATTTTTTATAAGAAGAAAAAAAATTAGCTTGGATACAGTATTTCTTGTCTGATTTCTGGGTTCAATTCTTGTAAGGACAGGTCCGAGGTGCCAAGCCTCAGACTGCTACAGTAATTCCTTTATGACCGAAGTGAAGGATAAACCCAAAGCTTCCCGCTCAAATAGCTGCATGACAATAACAATGAGCATGCCCGCACCCGATTCCTTATGATGAGCTACACAGCAGTTATGATAGGCATCCTCCCATTGGAATATCTCTCAATTTCCCGGTCCCAAAATAACCGTTTGGAGATACACATCAGATCCTGAATATCTTGCTTGGCATGCCACGTGGGTTTCTCATTGGATCCTATAAATACCCCCCCGGGCCACGTAAAAAGGTAATTGAAACCAACCCTAAGCTCTTTTTATCTCCGCCCTAAAGGTAGCCCTGATTATTGCTGACTTAAGCATCGGAGTGTCTACCCCGAGTTCCACCTCGGGGCTTTGCAGGTCATTCCGGAGTGCAAGCGCGGACTGAGGAAGGACTTCTGGTTTGGTGCAGTTACATTGGCACCGTCTGTGGGAATCGAACTGAAAGCTTTCTAGTTGCTCTTTCATCATGGTTCACACTCGATCAGTCCGAGCTGGCAATTCATCTTTGCCTCATGGGCAAGGTCAACCCCCCAACAACCTTCCACCTCTGATCCCACCCCAACTTACACCTCAGCTTCCACCTCAGGTCCCCACTATGTTCCCTCCTGTTGATCATGTCGAAGGAGGAGATGAAAACCAACCCCATGCCTCAGCTCACAATTCCACTTCCACTGCCAACCAAGACGTAGTGACAGCTCAGCTTGCTGCCATGCAGCAGCAATTTGGTGTTTTTCAGTTGGTACTGGCTCAACTTTTAGCCAGAAAGAATCCTGGTGACCCCCTCATTAATCTATTGAACCCTGCTCAACAACTCCCAGCCCCACAACAGAATCC